AAACTCTGGCTCTATTATTGTCCTGTTTATTTTTTTTCTTGTCTGTTTTCTCAATCAATTGGTAGTGCACAGTTTGGCAGCAGAGTAAAAGTGTAAAAACACTGTGAATCAGACCCAGCTCGGATTTGCTCCTTTTCTGATTCATGATAATCAAATCCCCACCAGAAAGTATCATTAGGCAGGAAACCATCGTTATTTGTGAACTTCATCAGATTGCAGGAAGATAAGAAGCTCAAAAGACACATACAGTATTACTCAACACATCTCCAGAAGTCCAGAATTTTGTTCATTAAAGGCCAGAATGGGAAAAAGTGCAATGATCTAATATTTCATTGACAAGAGTGTGATTTTTAATATATGTTTATATTTTTTTAATATTTGTTTTGTCTCTTTATACAACTACAATATTACATGCCAAATATGATTGATTTCCAGTAAAACTATAACCCACAAACCCTTCTCAGAATTTGGTTGTGACTGCTGAAAATGTAAGGTTGTGTCTTTGGTTATAAATGTGGTTGTATACTGAAATGTCTATGAGCAGAAGAGTATTAGCACTTCAAACAGGACTGACAGCTGTATTCTGCTGCTGAGTGACTATAACCCGAGGTGCTGTGCTGATTATGCAATGGATGTTTTTTCATGTATGCGAATTTGTATAGAAAAAGTCTTGAATGAATATTACTGCCAGAAAATAAACCATGTATTGAGAGAGGATTTACATTATGCTAGTTCCTCACATCAATTCATAGCTGTAAGGATTTTGAATTAGTGTAACGTAGTTTGAGATAGAGGCTCGATATTATACAGAGATTGTATCATATAGCAGCACACTTACCGTCTCATATGAGAGAAGAGAAGCGGACATTTTGCAGATGACAGAACGATAATGGGGAAATTACTAAACCTCCATGTCTAGAGTGTCAGGGTGACAGTTTTTTTTTTTTACAGTGACTAAACTATGCAAAGATTAGCTGTGCAAAACCTAACTTGTGTTATTCTTTTCAAAATGATTAAGTGTATGCTTTTTAAAAGTTTGGGGTCAGGAAGATTTTTTATGTCTTTCAAAGTAGTGGCTTATGCTCATCAAGCTTGCAAACAAACAAACAAACAGTAATATTGTGAAATATTATTACAATTTACAATTTTACTACTGTTTTCTATTTTTATTCCTTTGATGGTAAAGCTGAATTTTCAGCAGCCATTACTCCAGTCTTCATTGTCACATGATCCTTCAGAAAACATTTCTGATTATTATCAGTTAAAAACTGTTGTGCTGCTTAATAATTTGGTGGAAACCATGATACATTTTTCAGTATTCTTTTGAATACAAACTTTAAAAGAATAAAATGTATTTGAAATAGAAATCTTTTATAACATTTATAAATGTCTCTTACTGATCCCAGACGTTTGAACAGTATTGTATATGTTTTGATATATGTTTTTATTTTTTAGTATTTATACACTGTAAAATGTGGTAATGTGCAATTGTTATCTTTTCAACTAAGTTAATAGTAGTGCAAGTAAAAACGAATTTGGCTATATAAACACCAGGCTTATTTAATTATAATAATTATAGCTGTAACAGTAAAACAGTATAGCTATAACATTAAAACCATCAGGGACAAATATGCATTATAACTGCAGCTTATGAATTTTTATAGCTGTGTGATACTACCTCAATATTCCTATCTTAAATTGAAATTTCTCATGTTAATCTGAGTGCATTTAACCTCAGGAGAGTTCTGCTATCATATCAGTGTTTTAATGTGAGCTCTCCTGTGATTGGCTGACGATAACATAATGGTTTAATGACAGTAGAGTTTTATTTAGTAGGAAACCGTATAGTGTGTCACTGCTGTTGCACTAAACATCAGCCAGTAGTATATGGCAACATGGGATACGCCAGCCTCCAGCAATGACATTGCTGTGACAGGTAACCTTGAGGGGCGTCCATCTATCCTTTCACTCGTTCGCTTCTTGTTTCTCTCAGTCACACACACAAACAGGGTCATTCTGGTATTCATTGGGGCTTTATAACAGCAGGGGCACTTTAATGACAGTTATTTCCTTCCAGACTCAATCTGAATTAATTGAAGCGCTGTCTGTTTCTGCAAATGGTCGATTTTTCTTTTATTTTTTTTCAGCAGTATTGCAGTAAAGGCTAATTTAGGCCAAAAAATCCTTTACTAAGTTGCCAAAGTCAGCCTATTTGAGTATATGTGTTTGTTTTTGTGTATAAAAGAGGATTTACTGGGAGCTTTTAGGTTTTGGCTCACAAGATAAACCCTGAAATAAATAAGAAAATTACATCCCTGAACACAGCTGTGTATGTGCAGTGCTTTTGAATGTGTGTGTGTCCATATCTACAGATTTACTTCATAAATCCGACGCTTGGTGGCTATAGGATCCATATCAGTGTGTAATTTGCTGGGAGCACAGAAAGCCCACAAATGCTTTCTTAGCACTTTCCACCTGTGAATCGATTAATCTTTATGAATGAACAGCCAGATCCCCTTTGACATCCTTCCTGTCCTCTGTGTCCCGCTCATGCCATTCTTCTCATCTTTCTCTCTGTGTTCTCTCTCTTCATCTGTCCATCTTTGTACACGTAGACTTGAACCTGCTAATGATAATTCAGTTATTTTGCTTTTGTCAGAACAGAGCGTTGCTGTACTGATGGTTTTGCTCAGATGGTCTGGATTAAATTATGGCCTCATTTTGTACCTACAGTACAAAAAGCCGAATAAATTACATTTTACAATATATTAAAACAGAAAACAGTTATTTTAAATTGTAATAATATTTCACAATATTACTGTTTTTGATTAAAAAAAAAGGCAGCTATGGTGAGCATAAGAGACTTCCTTCAGAAACATAAAAAAAATGTTACTGACCCAGAAGTTAGGGTAATTTAGCCTTTCACCACTGAAAAAGTAAGTAATGAGATGCATTAAAAAGCTAATGTGATCTCTTCTTTAAACCTAGAATGATTGTTTTTTTGTTTTGTTTTTTTGCTTTAAAATCATTGTAGGGAACAGAAAAGTTCCCCTAATTGAAGAATCACCCATATATGAAATTAAATTATGTGCAAACCTTTATTGCTCTGATTCAAAATGGTCTCTGATATTCGGCTGAATATGACAGCAGGCTTTCAGAAGCTGTTATTATATTCGCTTCATGTCATTCTTCAGTGATTCTTATCATTACCTGATATAATTCAAACAGTGAGGCAATCACACAGCACCACAGACACCACACAGGTGCCTGAGCTTGTTCTTCCTCTCCTGCAGTCACTGCGCTCACTGGCTTTTTCAGACTCACTGGCCACTTTGGCAGTTACCTGCATATTCACTGTCTTTCTTTTTTGTTTTTGCCTTTTTTTTGTCTGTTGATCTCAGTAGAAAAACCATCTACCCATACATCATTGTCATGTATTTATCTTAAACAACATGCTCACATGAGCTTATACTGTAGGTTTACTTTGATCTCACATATTGCACACTGCTAGACATATTTGATATTTGTTCTATTCTATTCTATTCTATTCTATTCTATTCTATTCTATGCATGTATTTAAGCATTTCCCTCTGATCTCCCTCTCCATGTCGTTCATCTGTGAATGACTGTTCACCTGTCAGGACTGGAAGTAGTGCTGCGATTTGTGGCTGGACTGCTCTTAATTCTCTTTTTATCGGCAGCAGAACTAGGTCAGACTGGAGCCTGTGTCTGAGCCTGCAGACAGAAACAAGCAATCACCACTTTGTCTGGCCTGAGGAGCCCACAGTTGTTTGCTGTTAGCCATTAGTACTAGACAATGAGGCTCCATCACTCAATTCAGTGAACACATTCAGTGGAGCATCCCATGCAGACAAATATCTGCTTTTAAAAGCAGCCCATGAATAGTGCTCCCTATTCGCAGCACTCACTCTTAACACTCACTAGTTTATTTAAATTGTCCACTAACAATTCCAACATTGTCATTTAAAAAAAAAAAAAAAGAATACTTTTATACAGCAAGGATGCATTCTATTGATCAAAAGTGACAGTAACAACATTTATAATGTTACAGAATATTTCTATTTCAAATAAATGTTGTATTTTTAACTTTCTATTTATCCAAGACTCCTGAAAAAAATGCATGGTTTTCTCAAACATATTAAGAAGCACAACTATTTTCAACATTGAGTATATTTATATAAATATTTTTGCATAATTTGGAAAACAAGCAAAATTACAGCTTGATTGTGGTGAATATGATGCCATAATAACAGAGGGACTGTGATCATTTTTGTAAATGTTTATATAAATCTTTTTCTCAAATGTCACACAAAAGCTTCTGAAATCATTTATTACACTTTGCTTTAGATTATCATTGTTTCAAAATGTTACTATTTAATATTTATATGATGGGTTTTCATATTGTAAGATTGAAAATCGGGTTCTGCGATAGTACAACAATAATATACATAAAAATAGGAAATAATCAATGCATAATAAAAAGTTATGTGACCTTAATATAACAAAAGGGGAAAAAAGCTAGTTTTATTAAAAATCAGCTCTGAGACATAAAGTGCCAACAGATGAAGTTGTCTGTCATGTATGAGGTCATACTGTAGTATAGAGATGAGGACGAGAGCAAAGTTACTCATGTAGTCTGTGTGCTTGCAGGATGTTGTTTAATATTGAGTGACAGAGGGAAGGAAACATCCAGTACCAGCTGCATATTTAAACACTCATGGATCTGCTTGACTCTTTCTCAAGCACACATTCACACAGCTGCATCTAATCTGTAAATGTTTAAATAGTGGCCTTCAGCACAAAGTTAATGATCCTCTGGTATTCCTGGCACAAAAATGTCATATATATGTACAGTATGTGTGCACGAGTTTGTTGTGTCACTCTGAAAGCGTGAAAGTGTGTGTTTGCACTGAAATGGTAATTGGCTGGTCTCCCTCTGATACTTGTCTCCCTCCCTCTGTTCTTCAGCCATCACTGCTGGAAAGAGAGATAGAGAGAGAGGGCACACGGCAGCGCGACCAGAATACAGAGCAGGCCGAGATGATGTGGAAGGTGTGTGGGGCAGAGGGGGTTATGGGTAGGGCTGAGGTGATGCACTCATGACACCACACTAACAATCCTCAAACCTTCTTTCATGAGAAAATCATTGTGTTTCTCTTTTCTATCCCAACAATATGCAACATATAGTGAATTGCACTTTCATATGTTATATTTTGGTTACACTTGATTTTAATAGTTCACTTTAGACATTCTACTAACTATAAATAACTTTGCAACTACATGTCAACTAACTCTCATTAGACTATTAGTAGACTGCTAGGTTAGGGTTGGGGTTCGTAGAATAAGTTGACGTACTTGCAAAGTTAGTTATAATCAGTAGAATGTCTGTTGGGGACCATCCAAATGAAGTGTTAGCAGATATTAAGAGCAAACGGTCTACTAATACTCTAATGACTGTTAGTTGACATGTAGTTGAAAAGTTGGTTATAGGCTCATTCCGTGTTTTTCAACATTGATAATAATAAGAAATGTTTCTTGAGCAGCAAATCAGCATATTAGAATGATTTCTGAAGGTCATGTAACACTGAATACTGCAGTAATGATGTTGAAAAGCACAGAAACAAATTACACTTGAAAAATATTGTGTAAGTTATTTATAATGTATTTTCAATATTTAAATTGCAATAATATTTCACAGTAGTTCTGTATTTACTGTATTTCTGATGAAATAAATGCAGCCTTTGTGAGAATAAGAGACTTTACCCCAAACTTTTGAAAGGTGTATGTGTTGTGTTTAACAGCATACTGTTGTGGAAATGACTGTAATATAAATTACATTTTAAATATTTTAATTGACTAAATGATACTTTAGACATTCTACTAACTATAAATAACTTTGCAACTACATGTCAACTAACTCTCATTAGACTATTAGTAGACTGCTAGGTTAGGGTTGGGGTTCGTAGAATAAGTTGACGTACTTGCAAAGTTAGTTATAATCAGTAGAATGTCTGTTGGGGACCATCCAAATGAAGTGTTAGCAGATATTAAGAGCAAACGGTCTACTAATACTCTAATGACTGTTAGTTGACATGTAGTTGAAAAGTTGGTTATAGGCTCATTCCGTGTCAACTCAACCAGAGGTTTCTAGCTAAAAAGTTTGATTTTGAGAAATGTTTATTCTTGAGTTAAAGGCATGCAAATTTAGTTAAAAAGTGCTTTTCCCCCATTTTTGAAATGTCACCATAATGCAACAGATCTTACTAATAGACCTACCAATCACTGTGTAAAAATAACAATGATGCCACCATCATTCTAAAGTCATTTTTACCCCCTTTAATTTGGCTTCAAAAATTGTATTTTTTGAAAATTGTATTCTGACCCCCGCTATAAAATAGTGGATTACTTAGTAAATATCCATTCATGACATTTAATATTTTGGCTTTATTCACTATTTATGTTTGTCTTTCTTAAGAAAAGTATTAACAAAATCAAAATTTTGAGCCAGGCAAGTTTCTGAAATTTGGTTGTTTTAACACAATATGAGCTTATAGTTACTAGAATGTCTAAAGTGGACTATCAAAACAAAGTGTTAACTATATATTTTTAAAAAGCTTGTTGAAATCCTTAAGATATTCTTGTGTAGATGTTAAATTTTTAATCTTTGCCACCCACTCTGTCTGCTCAATCATTTAAGTGAATTGTGTGTGTCTGAGACACTGTTTGTTTGTGAGGTAATTTTGTTGTCTGTAATTACCAAGTCTTTTAGCTCAGTAATAAGAATACCAGGGTTTTGTTTACAAGCAAAGCTGCAGGGGTGCAGTGCAGTGAATGACTGAAAACAAAATATGTGATGCACATTTGTAGTGGCTTAATGTTACATGTAAATTTGGAGCAAGTGGTAGTGAGCTAATGTTTGGCTTTAGCGTCCGATGCATTATGGTAATGTGTCGTTAAATGGCTTATGCTCTCTATGGATTTGTGATGTGAGGATGAAGAAAGGTGGAAACAAAAAAGGAAAAGCTGGCAGCCTGATGAGGAGTGAAATGATGGAAAGGGACTGAGTTGCTTTCATGCCTTTGAGTGAGTTAAACTGCCTGTTGTTTGACCTTCGTCAAGATCAAAATCACAAGGAGTGCAACACGGATTGATGCCAGAACACACACACACACACACACACACACAAATCAATTAAATTAAGCTACATCAGATGGCTTCTAAATGTAGTTATTGCATTGTCCATCCATTTTCTTCTCCGATTTCATTGTATTTCCTTCTTTGTGGTGTGTATTTGTGAGTATGCATGGAGTAAGACCCAATAAGGACTAGACTAGTTTTCCCAGCGGAAGTCAGGTAAATTCATGTTTCAGAAATGTACTATTTTAGTCCTGTTCGCATCAAACACGTCTGTGTTTTTCTCACACAACCTTGAAAAAAAAATACAGAGAAAATTACCTGCCGTTTTTTGAGTGACTCAAGTGTTCTCTGAGAATTTTAATCCTGTTCTGATAGGATAGTCTGTGATTGCGGTATATTATTATTATTTTTTTTTTTACTCTTCTCCTTTTTTATTTTGACCTTTGTTGAGTACTGTAGCTAAAGTTATATTTCTTGTTTCACTGTCTGGTGTGGCTCCATTATGGATTTAGTGGAATAATAGTATATCATCTGATGTAAAAGGAATAAGCAGTGTTGTAGTCAAGACCAGCTCATTTAAGTCCAAGTCAGACCTGAGAACTGGGTAAGTTGAGTCTGAAGGTGCATTCCTGTTGACCATAAGCGTGCTGTGAAGTGGACTTCACAAGGTATTTTGTCATATTAGGTGAGATTCCAATCCAAAGGGAACATTCATGTTCAGTCCGAAGGGCATTGACATTGGGAATAAGGGAACATCAATACATTGCTTAACAGGAAGTTGAGAGGGAAATTTACCCACCAGTCAATATGCATCACTTCAGTACTTAAGAAGTTTGAATAAAATAAATGCACTAAATGAGTTGATGGCGATGCATCAGCATTTTTGTTTAATTAGTCCCAGGTGTGGTTTGTATGCAGATGTTTGTGTGCATAAAGTGCACAGGATGCGACAGTTACAATGCAGCTATTATGATTATAGTTAAATAAGATAAAATACACAGCTGATAGAACCAAATTATGTTTATTTTCATATTAAACGTCAACAACAGGCATTTGTAACTCAGTTTAGTGCTTTCAAATAACAATTTATTTATGACCTTGTATGACGCTCATCCTGACGACAGAAACTCCCAACTTCTGAGATCCTAATCTGGTCCAAAACTGTGCATAAAATCACAGGTGGCCTTGGCCTATATTAATAATTGTAACTCAGATGTCATTTAGAAAACAAATCTCACTTGTTCATGCATGCACAGATGTGTAACCATAAATAATAACAGCCTCATTTGGCCAGGCAGATGCCGTAGTCGTGGAAACATTTGAAAGAAACCTCCTTCACTTTAATTCCCGCTCTTATGTGTTCATCTTTTCATCTCCCATTACCACATCTTTTGCGAGGCGGAAGATGTTTTAGAAAGCACCCGTGGTAGATAGCAGATGACACAAACCATCTGTTGCCCCCTGCTGTGTGGACTGGATGTGATGTCATCACAGTTGGACAGGTATCAAAGTGGTGTCTTTTCTACTGGCTGGCATCTGCCTGGGCAAGATGCTCTGGGTGTGTTTCAGTGAACTTTCTAGAACTTTGCAAAGAGTTGCCTTCCTCTATTTTTTTTTTTTTGGCCATCCTGAAACGCCATCAATAACTGTTCACAGCTCTTGTCTCTCAGAGTTCCTCTTAGATGACAAAAACTGTGGCATTTCCTTCACGCTATATTTCTCTCTGTCATTCTCTCTCTCTCTCACACACACACACACACACACACTATCTCTCTCTCTCTCTCTCTCTCTCTCTCTCTCTCAGGCTGTAAATCTCTCTTGTGCACTCAGTTGCATTTCTCTCTAACATTCTTTGTTCCTGTCATAGGTATGGAATCTTCAAATATTCATGAACTTCTGGAATTATTTATGCAGGGCATGAGTGTTTCCCGTGGGAGGGCTTCTGTGTTTTATGGGTTTCATTTAAACAGCCTATTTTTCCCGTTGGTATGAAATGCCAAAGAGTGTGAAAGAATGTGTATTAGATTGAGTACTGTATGTGTGTGTTTGTCCACTGAGAAACAAGGTCTCACAAGTGCACAGATTATGAGATTCCATCTGCGGAATCATAAACACATTCTGAACGCTAACGTAAACGTCACTGCACTGAATCTAAACACATTCTGAACGCTAACGTAAATGTCACTGCACTGAACCTAAACACATTCTGAACGCTAACGTAAAGGTCGCTGCACTGAACCTAAACACATTCTATCTGCGGAATCATAAACACATTCTGAACGCTAACGTAAACGTCACTGCACTGAATCTAAACACATTCTGAACGCTAACGTAAACGTCACTGCACTGAATCTAAACACATTCTGAACGCTAACGTAAACGTCACTGCACTGAATCTAAACACATTCTGAACGCTAACGTAAAGGTCACTGCACTGAACCTAAACACATTCTGAACGCTAACGTAAACGTCACTGCACTGAACCTAAACACATTCTGAACGCTAACGTAAACGTCACTGCTCTGAATCTAAACACGCTCTGAATCTAAACACATTCTGAACGCTAACGTAAAGGTCACTGCACTGAACCTAAACACATTCTGAACGCTAACGTAAACATCACTGCTCTGAATCTAAACACATTCTGAACGCTAATGTAAACATCACTGCACTGAACCTAAACACGTTCTGAACGCTAACGTAAACGTCACTGCACTGAATCTAAACACATTCTGAACGCTAACGTAAACATCACTGCACTGAACCTAAACACGTTCTGAACGCTAACGTAAACGTCACTGCACTGAATCTAAACACATTCTGAACGCTAACGTAAACATCACTGCACTGAACCTAAACACGTTCTGAACGCTAACGTAAACGTCACTGCACTGAATCTAAACACATTCTGAACG